GGCTATCGTCCGCTAGGATAGAGTTCACATTCTAGTCAACTAACCACTTTATTTACACCATATTTTCAAGCTTTAATTGACGTTATTTTGTGATTAACGGGGTATATTGATCTAAGTTCAATATCATGCGGATTCAGAACAGTTCTATAAAAAAACTACTCATACCATAGAGAGGAGAAGATTTTGCTTATTATTTTTTCTCATTTTATGATTCTTTCTCACTTTCGCTTTCTAGTAATAAATAATTTTGCGTTTTATACCCTACAAAGAAATATTTTCAAATAATTACTGCGTCTTGATTGTACAGGAATAGAGTGTAATTTATTGAAAACTATATCCCAAATTTTTCGTTACGATTTTCAATGAAAATTAAGAATATCACCATTCGCTGTAGATTACAATTATCATGGTAATTCACAAAACATCTGCGAATGATATCTCAAAGACTTTAATGCACCCCATTAATTCACCGGATTACAACTTCTTCAAGGCTAAGAATCGCCTCGCATAGATTTTACAATGTTTTTAACAACAAACTTGAACACAACATGAGACATATGCTTCTAAGCCATCTGCACTCGTCAGTACAGCAAATTGCAGAATAAGCTTCCAAATAAAAAATGAAGTAAGGTATCTTGTTGTTTAGAAATTTCTCATCTATAAAGACTTCAAATATGAGAAGTTTAGCAGTATGTTTGAAAATAAATCATACCGAAAATTATGACCCTGTAGCAATGAACCTGCTAAACTGGACTTTTGAATCGCAAGATATGAGAAATCCATTATTTTCATTTTCAGATGAGAACGGCATGATTACGAAGAGAGAGAAGTTCATGCATTATATTTCGCTTCCCTGGAAATTACTGTTCGCTTTGATACCACCCACAGATTATTACAATGGTATGTTCAAATTTGATTTGTTGTCTCTAAATATTAAAATTTCTACAAATAGCATCACCCGCCTAAGTTTAAAAGTATGATATTTGAAAATTTTAGCCATTGAATAATTGAATATTTCTTTTCTCTTGAAGAAGGATTTTACGTCAAGATTTTGTTCTTTAGTATGCCTTACAGGCTGTTAGTGAAACACTTCATTTCAAAGCCCAACTTTTCGGCACAACGCCTTCTTCAAAGGCCTGCAAGTGATTTATACACCTTTTATCACACGTTCCATCCCTCCAAACATCCTTATATTCCTATTCCATTATGACCGAAACTGGCTCCCATGATCGACATCACCAATTGTTTCGCCTGCTTAGCAAGAGCTAACTTCTCACTTTTGCCTGCTTACAATGATGTCTGTATTAGGCGGTTCAAGATGGCTTGAACGCGCTTAAATAATGGTAGGCAATCTCAAAGGTCAGAATTTAGAATCAGCTGTAGATTATTTGTGGTAGATAGATGCTCATTCTTGCCATTCATCCTAGGTATGCGCGCAAGTATTCAAGAGGTTTCAAACGCTTTAATAAGAGATATTTTCCTCCAACGCCAAAATTATATATCAGAATCGGGCCGTTATGGTATTCTTTCCTAAGCTTTCCCAAAGGCTCACAAGACTTTGTCTTCTTTTACTAGCCAAGTGCTCATTTACACATACATGAAGTGGTCAACCGGTTTCACCGATGTAGGTGGCATGGCAATCCGTCCCAGTTGATAAACTACTCCGCACTTGGAGCAGTCTCCCAATCTTCCGTTAGGACACAACGCAAGGCGTGATGCAAGCTCTATATAACCTATGACGAATTGTCTCCTGATATTATTCTGAGGAATGTCTAAAAGGACACCATCGCTTTTCAACTGCACTTGCAATAACCACTGTTTCAATGCGGCGGTCAATTAGCCGGAGATGAACGTTAAACATAGTAGAGTTTAATTTCCAGTATGTCCCCTTGCGTTCAATGATGCTCTTTAAGATGATTTGGGCTGGAGCGAATAATCGTTACTGGTTATAATTTGGGATACCATTCTTATAAACTCTCGTCTTCGCTTGCTTCTAAATATATAATTATTGCACGTTTCATAGCGGTAGGATGAGCAGATCTTGCGTGTGAAATAATATTCTTGCAGCCTTTTCGATACCATTTTACGTGTACTGCTCCATTGACTAACATCAACTTATGTACGGCAGCCAACCGTCGCGTGGTGATTACATCGATGATTGTTGCATAATTACATCCACTCAACCCGAAATAGATAAGTGTTCAGAATACTTAATCAACATCGCAGTACACAAGGGGGAACCACACGGTTGGCCGCCGTACCTCAACACACTGTTGCTGTTTGTCAATGGGGCAGTACACGTAAAA